TCAGTCCTCCTCTTGGATTTCCTAATTTCTAAAATTTGCCATGCAGAAACGCAACAAAACGGAAATAAAATAGATATTTTGGAAGCAATTTTAACAAAAATGAAGAAAACCTGTTGCTTTATCTTCTAAAAAAAAATCTTAAAGACCAATGCTGATGTAGCTCGTTTAAAAGTTCGATATGAAACCTTTTCTGAAAATATTTTTTCAGGCCATGACATATTGAAGAGTTCTTGGCGGTATTTTTTTCCTTCCCTAAAAGCGCCAAGACTGGAACTACTAACCGAGCACGGGAACTCCTGGGACAAGAAGAGTTAAAGTGCTTAGAAGCGTAATTTTTTTTCACGGTTGTCTGCAACAGAAAACTGCCTTTTTATCGGCGCTTCTTTTACTCACCTTAATGTTCACACAGAAGGGGTCACTCTAAAGTTTGGGAACTCGACTCGAAATTCATCCTCAGAGGCAGACCGACCAGCTGGTACAACAGATCAATTTGGACGAATATTTTCTTCAAATTAAACATTTCAGGTCTAATTGTTTGGGGATAAAAGTCATAAAACTGAGGAAAGACCATAAGTTAACTTTTCCCCCTTGGTCTTGAAACATGCTAACTCAAATTTTGAATAAATATGAGAAAAAACACGGTGCATTGGATATTTTAAAACATTTTGAATTTGATGCCATTTAAAACATTTTGAATTTGATGCCATTTAAAACATTTTGAATTTGATGCCATTTAAAACATTTTGAATTTGATGCCATTTAAAACATTTTGAATTTGATGCCATTTAAAACATTTTGAATTTGATGCCATTTAAAACATTTTGAATTTGATCCCATTTAAAACATTTTGAATTTGATGCCATTTAAAACATTTTGAATTTGATGCCATTTAAAAATTCGAAGTATATGTTCATGTTTTCCTTTTGAAAATTGTGTACCCAGCCAAAAGCCCCTTTCCCTGCCAAAAGCCCCCCTTTTTTTAAAATATGAATGAGGTTCATAACTCTCATCCATTTGACCTAGGGGGGCTTTTGGACAACATTCGAAAATTTGTAAGTCTGAACTTAAAATGAAAGAATCCTTTGAACCAAAATATCTCAGCTAATCAAAAACACAAGGATTAGGAGTATTACAGAATCCTATGTGGAATTTTTCTAAAGCATTAAGATGGTACATAATATACTTCTCTGGTCATAGAAAAACGCAATTACCATATTCACTTAAGTACCACGTGCCCTCAATTAAGGCACGCACAGGGGTTCTTCAGTTGGAAATTTTGCAAAAATCTTATCCCCAAGTAAGATGAAAAACCTAATTTTTATTGAATCTGAATCCACAAAATTTTGAAAACAGCAACAAAAAATTTGACTTTATTAGACATGAATTGAACAAAAATCTGATCAATTTTCAACTTTTTCAGTATAAACAAGTTTTCTTATTGGTACATTTGTTCCAAATTTCTCCATTCTAATTAAGTATAATGCACACATAGCTTCCTAAAACTTCTTGAAAAATTTATACCTGCTTATGACGCGCACGCCTTTTTTTATTCTGAAATTTGAGAAAAAAGGTGCGCATGGTACTTGAGTGAATACAGTAAATAGAAATCCATCTTAAATTTTCAGTTACAGTATAAGTGAAGTAAAAGGCATTATTAGTGCTCATGTACTTCCTAGCAGATAATAATAAAAAACCAAGCATTGCACTTGATTGGATGAAAATGCAAGTATATAGCCAGAAATAAATTTCTTCTCAATCCCAAAAATGTTACACATCTTGATTTATTTAGAAATGAGTATTTTTTCATGTCCATGAAAAGAATTTCAAATACAGTACCACGTGTTTCGCAGAAATGCTGAGAGATTAAATTTTTTTAAATAACAGTGATCAGGTTTGAGTGGGTGAAAAGTAATATATGATTTGATGAGGACGGAACTGAGGAGAACCCAGTAACTGTCTTCAAAACCCCTTGGCAAGACTTTGGAGGAAACCCCCGGGTTTACAACATCTTTTCCCCGCTTTATACGGAGCCAGGGGTTCAATTAAGTCCGTCTCGCCGTTTTGGCGGCAGGACTAAAGTGCAGATTTATCCCTGATTGCTAAATCGATTTCAAGAGCACCGATCGAAAGGACAATCTTTTCCCCCCTTTATACGGAGCCAGGGGTTCAATTAAGTCCGTCTCGCCGTTTTGGCGGCAGGACTAAAGTGCAGATTTATCCCTGATTGCTAAATCGATTTCAAGAGCACCGATCGAAAGGACATACTTGAATTGGTCGCACTGTTTAAATCGTCGCGGCTCTCTTTTTTTTCTCCCCCACATCACGCCGTCAAGTGGTACGAGAGATTTTCTATGGGTATATAATGCCAGAAAAGAATACTGTAATACTTTAACACATCGTCGATTTTTATATGATGCAGGAAATAAATTTTGAATAAAGCATTCAAAAGCAGAACACCTTCACTTCTCCCGTTCGATAATTCATAAAAGAATGAATTTAATTATTCCTAAAAATTGGCGCTTCGCGTTCTCCTCCTCCTTTTCATAGTCTGACCTTCATGAACCAAGAAACTGTCGCACAGCTTGCCCAATCGTGCAGCAGATTTCCCAAGCAATTTCTCATCCAACAAATAAGCACAATCTGAATAATTGAAGTCTTCCACGGAGACCACGCAACTGATTTCAGACAACGATGGTCTACTTCCAAAAAATAGTAGGGCTTGCTCGCAGTACCAATCGCACAATTCAGGCAAGCGGCACACAGGTACTTGCGCAATTGCCGCACCCCAGGAAGAGTGGCGGTGCGAATCAAACAGCGTCACCTAGGGAATCGATTTTGAAATAAGGCATCTTAACGAAGTAAAAATTAGTAGAGGACGTTTCAAAGATTTGAACGCCCGCTACACTTTACATGTACTGATGCAGCGTGGTGTACTGAATACTTTTTTTATGCAGCAGGAAGGAAATAAATTAATGCATATTAGAGTCTGACGTCATTTTTATTTCATCTCTGATAAGATTTCTTACTACAGTAACACAGCAGTTGAATTATTTCTTGAAAATTTGATTCAACGTGCTGATGGAAAATACATCAATTGCGAACCCATTCTACTGCAGTTTCAAGTATTGCTTTTTTGTTTGAAGAGGCATAAATATTACATAAAATGTTGTGCATTACCTTTTGTTCCACCCCGAATAAATTTCAGGAAGTAAATATTGGCCAATTTATATTACAGCTAGTATATACTATATCTGTTCTATTGTAAATGAAATGGAAGTAAAAGAGAAAAAACATACTGACCATCCCGGTAAACGTTTGATAAAGCAGCAACATCGATCTTTTATCCACTATCCAAATCATACCAAGGTTGTTTGGCCGATGAGGAAGTGGAAATTGGTTTTGAAACCATGTCAAACAGTGTTCTAAAGCATCTTGTAATTTTTGGGAGGCATCGATTTCCAAGTCCAGAATTTGAGCAAAAAACTGTGCAAAAAAACAAAAATAAAAAGCTGAGAAAACAGACCGATTATTCCTTTGATGAAATTGAACACGTTAGAAAATTCTTGAAATTTTTCTTGAAAGTGAGCCCTTACCACGACATCTCACAAAGCTCAAAAACCACAACTTACCCTTTCTGTGACGAGAGGTCGCTCCAAGGAAATCGCAGAGATCGCACTAGGTATGCTCAGTGTGTGGTCAAGCGGAAGTAACCGCTGTTGATGCAACCTTCTGTGCAAAGCGTTCCCATCGATCATTGCCAAAAATAATGCTTCCAAGGTAGCCATGTTGTTGCTCAGAGACCACACGTCTTTAACCATCACATGCTGCTCAATTATCCGACAAGCGAGTGCCACCGCAATCAGTGTACACGCTCTGCTCTCTTGCATATATTTTTTGCATTGAACAATGCAACATTTTTTTTTTATATGTCGCAATCAGTTGAACGTGAAAGCGTAATACAATGCATACAGGAAGTAACACGTGTTGCTGATAGTTCTTCAAAATCGAGTCTCGACACTAATTGATCTGAGCGCAGTCTTCGAATGCTTATAATCGATGTTCAAGAGGTTTAATTTTTTTTCAAAAGTTCCTATGTTCGAATTTCGTCGATGGCTTTCATTTGAAAGATGATCACATTGAATAATTTCATGAAAAATGTTCCAACTACTGCTCACATAGGTTGAAAAATGGGAAGACAGAGATTCAATTGCGAAGAAAAACAATTCACCTGACAGTGGCTGACACACGATAATAACGTTCGTATACAGTAGTTACCTGAATTTTGACGAAGGCCAAAAAAAGCACCCAGATACAATATTCAAAAAATTCGAGACATATTTTTTTTAATTCTCAATTTTGCAAGACTTTCCGACCTGCTTCACAATTAAATATTGCTCAGAAGAGATGATTTTGTTGCTAGCCGAGATGGACTGATAATTACGAAGCAGGCTTCGAAAATGACAACGTAAAAAAGTGAGCAAATTTAATCGAGAATCTCGAACGGGTTTAGAAAATTCCTACCACCAGGCAGACGTATCGACTGAATTTGCTTCTTTACAGCATCGTTCTCACACATAAAAAATTAATTAAATAATAATGAAAATCTTAAGGAAACGTAATAAAACTGAAGTGACGTTGAATAAAATCTAAAATGTGACGCGAGTAAACAAGATATTTTCCCTCCATTCGAGACGGTCCTGTCGAAGAATCCCACATTATTGAGATTTTAGAATAATTATAAACGAAAGCTAAAAAAGTAAAACAGCATTGCTACAGTATATTGTACGCACATATAAATAAACTCATAATTTAAAGTCAAAGCGAGACACACACCTTGAATGCCATCAAGTGTGCTGTTTCCATTGACATTGTTTTGGTCAAATTCTGGAGAAAACATGAGTGTCCTGACATAGCCATTTTGTTTGCCAACAACTCCCGTCAACACCGACAATCCTCTACCCCTAATGACTACTTTCTCCCATGGACTCGTAGAAAC